GTATTTCTTGGTTTTGTACTCAGGAGTAGAGGTTGTTGCTCCACTTGGACCCCTGTGCTGTGCTGGTTGTGGCCATGCAGAAGGCACACATTCGCTTGCTGTGTAGTTGTTGTTTTTTATAGTAGAGGGTTTTACGGGGCTCACAACTGCATAAGGTGATGTGAGTGCCAGGGAGGATTCTTATCAAGTACTGGGTGGTCAAGGAAACCTAAAATAAACTCATAAAAAACAACGACAACAACAACAAAACTGTACATCTCTTCTCCGTGCTCAAGCTTTGCGTTTCAAATGTGCACTCAGTACAGGGGGTTAAATAAAACCCCAACTATACAACTTATTTTGTAAAAATCTTTCTCAATTCTGAAGTTTTGTGTTTCGAATTTGAACAAAGCATTTGGAAGCCGAAAGGAATTTGGTTGCTATTGATTTTATAGTGCGGTCCAAACTTCGTGGCGAGACTTATTGCCAAACATCTCCTCAACTATCGAACATAATAAACTCTCCAGCTTTTGCTCAGTGACTTCAATAAATTTGTCTTAACAGATCAATAAAATTTGTAAAGACCTGTAGGCTCTATTCTAGAAAATTCCGCATGAAATATTAATTTAAAAAATCCTAGTGGGTGGTTTCTACTGATTTTAAAAGGTTTACAGCTGCGGCGATATATTGCTTTTAAAAGTCGGTCATTTTTTTCTGATCGCGAGATTATCTTTATTGAACGCATATTTTGAGAATTATTGGTGCAAAAAAGTGTTCACTATACACCGGTAGAATTACTTTCTTGTAACAAGTTTTGCCACTAAAATGTGTCATTGATGAGCTGTGGCGTAGGCAATATGCGTATACAAAATGTGCGTGAGAAGCGGGAAGTGTTGTGAACAAGCCCATTTTGCGTGTGAAGGAGGTTTGTAGTATTGTATATACATTTATGAAGAAAAGTTCTTTTTAGTCTAGCCTCAGTTGTTGTTGTGGAAAAATGTGATTAAGTTAAGACAAACTGAGACAAACTACTGTGCCAAGTATGGGGGACAGTGATTCACCCGTTATAAAGATATTTGGGGATAAGTTGGGCCTCGAATTTTTGACCGCACTTTAGATAATGATTCCACAGAATCGTTTTGCTCCATATGGGGCATGAAGCAACCAAACATTTTCTGCTAGTTGCTAGATCTATGTCCCCATTTTTATAACATGACTCACCAGTTTACACTAGGCCTACCTCTAGGAGTTTCAATAATCGCGCCATGTTACAGGCTACAGCAGTGATTTATTTGTTTGGCTTTGGGTTTTTTTTCTCTTTCTGCCGGGACTTTATATTATACTAGCTGGATACCTCGTTCGAAGAACGAAACTTAATCGTCAAATCATTGTGGTTTAAGTGCGCACACCATGTGAACGGAAGTCTTTTGAAATATGTCTTGAACACTGCATTCAACTGCATTGAAACGCTAGAACTCTGTGTGGACGAAACCAAGCATTTTTGGAAAAATCTCGGAAAGCAGCTTGCGTGGATTTTTGAAAGTTAGGTCCTAGCCACATGGATGCTGTGGACGCCTGCAAAGTTTCAAAGGTGTGGGTTAGGTAATACATGTATTAATAAGGGAGGAGTTGGTGCACAAAGCCTCCCAAGTCAGAGACAGATGGTTACAGCTCCTTGGGATGAACTCTACTTGTTGCATGCTGAATCTGAACATCATTGAAGTTTACAAGGGAATCTACTACCACTGGAGAGTTTTGGGCCGGTGGCATCTCTTTGTTCATATCGGGAGAAGGAAAAAGAAACTGTAAAAATGAGTAGGCCTACAACTACAAGTACTGAACGCATCAAACCAAATTCTAGGAACAGCAAAAAAGAAGATGCAACTTGTGGTAAATGTGATAAAGAGGTGGGAAAGAAAGAACATGGACTAAAGTGTGATATGTGTGAGATGTGGCACCACACAACCTGTGAAGGTGTACCTGATTCTCTCTAAGCAGCAATACAGGAAACAGACAATGAATCATCACAGGGCCTGCATTGGTTTTGTAAAAAATGCAACAAATTCACCATTGGGTTCATGTCAGGTCTAAATCGTCTCTCGGCGAGACAGGATGCCTTGGAGGGAAAAGTAAAAGACATAGAAGCTCATGTTGTAGAGAAATTTAAAGAGGCCGAGAACTCAAGGGAGAATCTATCACGTAAACTGGACAGCGTCGTGGCAACATCAGTCAACGAGGGCATTAAAGAAATGGAAGACAGAGAATACAGAAAAAAACTATGTGATTTTCTTTGGAGTGCCAGAAAGTACAGATACAGACCCCGAAGTGAGGAAGTCAGAGGACATGAAAAAAGCGAATGGTATCACCCGGAAAGGATTGGAATGTGCGGCCGAGATTGCTCAGACCTATCGACTGGGGGCCAAATAGACAGAGGCAAAAGACACTGAAAAGGGCCCAGACCACTTTTGGTGAAATTTCAGAACTCTCAACTGGCTCAAGTCTGGAAGGAAACTCAGGAGCACCGAGACAAAAAGCTTCAAAACATTTCCATTAAAAAGGATATGACTTTTTTAGAGAGGGAAGAGATGAGAAAGCTGGTGTTGCTGAGAAATCAAAAAAGGGAAGAGTCAGAAGCTCAGGGAAGAAAAGACATATGGGGGATCAGGACACACCAGGTGGTGAATATAGCAAGAACAAAAGGCGGAGTGGGGGTCGGGCAGGTGGGCAAGGAATAGCCGATAACCAGCCCTTGAAACATGTATTTAGTTCACAGAATGTGAATTCTAGTCATTCTAGGGTTCTGAATTATTCTTTGAGTTGTGTTTATTCAAAAGTTAATTGTGTTCCAAAAGACTTGTTCAGTTTTTCATCTTCCAAGTTAAAATGTTTGTATTCAAATGCAGATAGCATTCTAAATAAGAGGCATGAGCTTGGGGTGCTTGTGTGTATACATAGACCAGATATTATATGCGTCACAGAGGTCTCACCAAAAAACTACACGGAACCAATACAAGTTTGTGAGTTGCAACTTCATGGTTACGATCTGTTCAGCAGATGTGAGAAAGACAATAGAGGTGTACTGATTTATACAAGGAACTACTTAAAAGCTACGTCCAGCCCAGTTAATGAAACATGTGCAGGGAAGGAATCACTCTGGTGTGAGATAGGACTTGATGGTACAGACAGAGTTTTATTAGGCTGTGTTTACAGGTCACCGAACAGCGATAATGTAAATAATGAACTCATCATCAAGGATCTGAAAACAGTGTGTAATATAAAATTCTCTCATATTCTGATTTGTGGTGATTTTAATCTCCCTGGGATTGGGTGGAATAATGACTGCGAGACTGAGGGCAGGGAGGCCACTTCCATCATGGAGGCATTCGGAGACTGCTTTCTGTACCAGCATGTGCAAGAACCAACACACCACAGAGTTAGCCAACAGGCCAACAGGCCAACATCTTAGACTTGGTATTCACAAACGAGGAGGGCATGATAGAAGAAGTGAACTATGAACCTCCCATGGGGAAAAGCCACCACTCTACCCTGGTCTTTCAGATGAATTTCTATAAGAAAAAAGATAAACCGCACAGGTCCCGCTATGTGTATGACAGAGCCGACTGGGTCAGGATTAAAAATGATCTTCAATCAATAAACTGGGAGACTACCCTAAATTAACTAACATGTGAAGCCACCTGGACTGAGATCAAACAAAAACTAATCCATAGCATGGACACAAATATTCCCAGGAGCAGACCTGGAAAAAAGCCGAGAAACCCACTGTGGATGAATGACAAGCTTTTGGCCAAGGTTAAAGAAAAAACACACCACTTTCAAAAGGTATATGGAGACAAGAGATGGTAAGGACTATGCAGACTACGCAAAAGCAAGAAACCAAGCCAAATGGGAATGCCGCAAGGCAGTACGAGACCTTGAAAGAAAGATAGCCCAAGAATCCAAGCAAGACCCCAAAGCATTTTTCAAATATGCCAAGAGCAAACTGAACACAAGGAGTGGTATTGCGGATCTGGTCTGTGATGATGGTAGTGTGGCAAGCACGGACAAGGATAAAGCCGAGGTTCTCAATAGTTTTTTCT